AGGACATGCGCGAGGACCGGTTTTGAGGGTTCTGGCTGGGAAGAGGAGGCAGAAACGTGTTCAGTATGTAAGATGGCGGCTTAGAATGTTCTGTTAATATAATCGTACATATTTATATCTGTAGCCTGACTGTGTGTTTTCGTATCCAATACGTCACACCCCTCGACATGGCGAGTCTTCAGTGTCATCAAAATTCGAACCTGCTACACGCTGGTCACGAGTTTGTGACCATAACACTAGGCTACTGCTACCACATATTTCTGCATTAGATAAACACATGAGCTCTGCATTAAGCATTCTATGGGACATATTAATTCCTATTTAAAGGTAGTAACATAGTGCTTTTCCCCCCAGATTTATAAAATCACAGATTCAATCTCTTAGACGAGGGTTCAGCAAACTTTTGGGAGAGAACTATTTATATGAACACTCGTGCTCACCTAGAAAGGAAGCACCTCCTTACATGAGCAATCTCGAGCGCGTAAATAATACTATCTTACTCCAATTAATGTTTTTAACACACACACACACTTGTTTTTTCACAATTCCTACTATATTAGTTCTCACTCTCCCTATATATATCAAGATATATATGTTATAAATGTGAAAGTATATGTTTGGATGTTTGATATGTATGTTTATTTTACGGAAAAACAACTTAATGGATTTTAATGAAACTACACAATAATATAGTTTATACATCAGAATAACACATACGCTATAATTTATAAAGATATTTGTGAAGTTTCCAAAATTTAACGATAATTGTCAAGAAAGTAGGAAAAAATTCAGCCATCTGCAAAAAAGCCCGAGACAGCATGCATCTATCTTTTTTATCCCTTTTGTTTTGTCTACGTCATGCCTCAGTGCGCGCTCACTTTTAATTTATTCCGTTTATCAGTGTAATCGCTATTATTTTTTTTATTTCATAATAAAACTAGATTTCGAAGGGAAAGATGGTGGCTAGATTTTAACATAAAATAAATACAACAAAGAGTAATATTAATGTATTACACCCCTGATATAAATTATTTACACTATTTTAAGCGTTCATTACACAAAATTTGTAACAATGACATTGGAAGGAAAAACTATGAAATTAGAATAAAATATCAATGCTTTTATCAGAGAGTTTTTTTTCTTTCAATGTTTTTTTTCAGTACATGTAAATATATATCTATAGGCTTTCCCCATACTGTTTTTTTATAACTTTTATATATATATATATATATATATATATATATATATATATATATATATATATGTTTACTCAAGTATTAAAAAAACAATCGTTTCAATAGCTATCTGTAAATTTTTCTCTCTTTTATTTATTACTTATAGAAAATGGATTTTAATTAATATATATATGTTTTTTAAAAGGATTATTTCAATTATTTCATTACTAAATTAATTATTTGTTAATTAAAAAGTACATCGTCTATTATTTGGGATAGAAATACATTTCAGAGACATTTTTAAGCTAGCTATACGTATCGATTGATAGATTCATGAAAATCTGAAATTTATTTTATTATTTTAGTTTCTTAGAAGCTAACTGTTATTAAAAAATGATGAAAGTTTTTTGTTTTACTCTTAATATTAGAATCGTTTTCTTTTTATTGCTTCACATTAATAATTTTTTAACTAACACAATATTGTTTTTTAAAAGTCATACATCGAAATTTGAAGCTATATCTTATCTGTGAGGGGGAGGGGAAGAGGGAACACTAAAAAAATCCCGTGTTATGCCGGCTAGAGTGAGGGAAAAGAAACCTGTCTTAAATCGAAAATAAGTGGAACAAATTTCGAAAAAGGGAAATTTAATGAAATAATTTTAAAAATCCTCACATTGTGTGCGCGCGTACAAACACACACACATAATTGTTGGCATCATGAGGGAAAGAGAAAGCCCGTGCAACGTTTGGCCATGCAGCTAGTTTATTTATATATATTGTTCAAATTTTCAATCGTAAATAAAATACTTTTTATTTATCTGCTCAGGTTCAAATACATTTTTCTAAACTTGTTGAGGATGACACTTGATGTTAATACAGTTTTTTCAAATATTAATTCTCTCATCCATTTAATTTAATTAATTAGTTATAATTTAAGAGAAAAATTTCAGTCGATATTATTCCTCTAGATAGCAGCAACATTAGATAAACAGCTTTTGTTAAATTTGTGATGAAGATTTAACTTAACCTAAATGAAATCATAAGCTTGTAAAACGTCAGCATTCCTTTTAAACTGATTTTAAGATAAATTCTTACATATTATATTTAACTTTTATTAAAAAAATGTTATTACAAATTTAATGTGGTAAAAATGTTAATTTAAAAAGTGTTTTGCCACTTAATATTATAATTCTATCATATGTGTATACATATTCATATTAGTTGTAAGAAATGTTTTATTTTAATTACTTTTTATTAAATAAAATAAAAAGTAACTAAAGTAAAATTTTACTTCGTTGACCTAAGTAGGAATTGATTAAAATTTTTTGAATATTACTTGTTAATAATACATAGAGATAGATGTCTGAAGAGCCGCAACCGTCTACGAAAAGAGCCACGGTTTTAGATGGATTATACTCTCGTTAATATTTTTTTGAACGATATTCTCAATATGAATTTTAGCAACACATTGAACTTCATACATTTCAATTTAATATGCATCCCGTTTTCCCAAACTGATTAAGACGTAAATTTAATCTATTTGTCCCAAGTTCATAGGCATTATAATATTTTTTGGGGGAGAAGGGGATAAATATTATTCAAAATATAAATTTGTTTTCTTTTTGTTTTTCTCAGAAAACAACTCAAAACAACGGTTTTTTAAAAAGGAAGTTGAAAAGATTAGAATAAACAGATATTGTTCGAAATTTTGTCGAAAAAAGATTAAAAATTAATTTTACGAAATCCATTCAGTATCAATACCAAGATTGTTCGATGAACTTTCTTTTCTAATCAGAAAACATTCACTATTATTTTTATTGTGTTATTTAATATTATTTTATTTTGTTTTGTTTCATTCCAAAAGAGCCCGCGTTCCTTTTTTGAAGTTATCGAATGCAAATAAATTAAGAATTGAAGTGAATTATATTTTGTAGTTTTTGTACAAAAGGCTCTTTTAATCTTTTTAGAAGCAGATGAAAGAATATATTCAAGACGACAGAATAAAGAAGTGATAGAAGAGTTGAATCTTTGTCATGTGTAGGAGATATCTTTGCCCTTCTATTTTATAGCGGTTGATACAAGTTTAATCTGAAATATATCTAGATAGGTTTAGAGACAATTATTAAAGTATGCATTAATTCTGAATTACAAATTGTACGCGTCTTTCCAAATTTTAGTCATGTAATTTTTTTTCTCAAAATAGAAGCTTACTGTTGTCATATTTCTGAATCTGAGAAACTGCAAATAAGTTTGAGTGAAAATAATTATTTAGCTCTCACTCTTTCCTAATCTAGTATTCATCCCTAAATAATTTGAAATTAATCAAATAAGTGCTTAGTGTTATAAGTATTTCGAGAATAAAATTATACACAGGAAACATCCTTTCTGAAATTGCTAAGAAATTGACGACCTCCATGTATGTTTAAAAATATTCTGGTTGAGGGTTTTCGATCACTTTTGTATTTTTGTTTGCAAACAACTTTAGATAATACATCAACTGATAGATTAAACAAGTACTGATTCGCTTAGCATAAATTTTATTTTAATCTCATAAAAGCTTTGAGATAAATTTTGCTTTGAAATAACTTTCTTATACACAAGAAAAATGCTTAGTAAAACGTGACCTTTTCTTCCGAGATGAATTTTTTAATAGTAGATACTTATTAAAATTGTCTATATATAACTTCCAATTAAGACTTTTTGGAAACCCTTCTGAGAAATACGGAGAACTTTTAAATACATTTCAAGGACACAGACACATCTGGAAATTAAAATGAAAAATAAGTACAGAACACCTTGAATGGCAAGATTCAATAACAACATTTCACTCAAAAGTAATTAAATTTATTTCGACAGGGAAATAAATTGAAGAAATTTAACGAACATAAATGATGCTGATTCCACAGAATATAATCCTGTTACATAATCCTGGCACATAAAATATAATCAAGTTATAATAAAGTGTAATATTGATGATGCATCTTTCAAAGTTTTTGAGAAATGGTGTCATGTTTGATCATAATGTCGTTTTATGTGTGTTGAGATAAAAGACTTCGCAAAGTTACAAAGTTAAAATATATCAAATCTCTATGAAGTTTTTGCAGGCATTTGTCTAAGCTATCGACGTGTCATCAGCTTTATCAAAACATCTTTTTACTAAGCCTAAGTGATCCGATAGAAAACAAGTAATAAATTTTTTTAAAAAGTCAATTCCTACTTAGGTTAACAAAGAAAAATTCTATTTTAGTTACTTTTTATGAAATATTGTCGCGTAGATTAAATTAATACGGTAATTCTATATTCAAATAAAATGGCAACAACTCTTGCTAGACACAACTCAAAATTTTATTCTACAAGCTGAATATTTCCTTTCCTTATATATTGCCATCGAAATTTCCAGAGATTTCCATAATTATAATTACTGTTAATATTTTTATAAATACAAATACAATAAAAATAAAAGCAAGAACGAGAGAAAGAAAGAATTACAATTAATTAAAAAATATAAGCGTGTGACACAAATATTAAGTTAATACTAAAGAAAACAAAATTTATTTTTGGTATGTCTCCCGCAACCGGGCGCGTGAGTCTGTGTCGATGGCAAACGAAGTGAACTATTTTTTTCTCTACAATATTTACAATTAATAGAAATATGTATATACATATAACATAATCACAATACTAAGTGGCAAAATAGAAAGCGATGTTCTGTCTTCCTTTCTATATATGGTATTATTTTTGTTTGCTACTTTTTATTCATTAATTGAATTCAATTATTCCAATAAAAAGAATAGTAAAAAGAAATCACATTCTCTGAAATTAGGCAATCACAGGTGAGATTCGAACTCACGACCTTCGGATTAGAAATCCAACGCGCTACCCATTGCGCTACAAGGACACAAAGAGCGGTTTTATTTTTTTATTGGTGTTGGACTATTCTTTTTGCTTGTTACTAATTATTCATTAATTAATATTTGAAAAAACTGTATTAACATCAAGTTTCATCTACTACAAGCTTAAAAAATGTATTTTTTGAACTTGAATGGATGAATAGAAAGTATTTTATTAACTATTGAAAAGTTGAATATATATATATATATATATATATATATATATATATATATATAAAGGTAATTAAATTTGATTTAAAATTAAATTCTCTATATAGCACTGAACTTTTATTTTCCATTTCATCTCTTCAAGTATTAAATTAATCCCCCAATTATTTCTCCGAAACAGATGGCCAAACCTCAAAACACTTTTGATCGCGGATCATTATTTTTTATAGCCCATATGTCAGAATTAACTTTCAAGTATAACCCATAATTAAGAAAGTACTTCACATCTGGGCTTAAGTGGTAAAACACTTAGATTTCACTCTGACGTCCTTTTTCTCTCAGTGACAGAACATGTAGATAGCTCGCTGAATAAAGACCTTTTCAAAACTAAGCTTGGTTCTGACTGGAAACATGTCATATATATAGGGAGAGTGTGAACAAATATAGTTGGAATTGGGAAAAAGAAACTATACATTTTTTGGTGAGTGTTTGCTGGTTTTCAAAATTTAAGATATATCCCGTCTTTCATGTCTGAAATGATTTAAAATTTAAAAGAAATGAGCCTTAAACGGTTAATGAATTTTACATAATTTTACCAACATCCATGATTTATACGGAATTAAAAAAAATTTTCTACGAAAGATCAGCGTTTTTTAAAAAAATAAATCAAAGAATTTTATGGAAAAAAGTGAAAAGGGTTTAATAAGGAATGTGAAAGTCCGTACATCCAATGCAATACTTATGCAGAGAGCTAATGCCTCTATACTATATATTACATGTTGGACAATGTAATAAGACCAACGCTGATACACTAGCAGTGGAAGTCAAAGGTCTAGGAAAGTACTTCAGGCATATGTCAGTCTGCAAGAGAGTCCCGAAGATTCTCCTTGAGATTTGGAAGAGAGGATTATGATATTTATTTCATTCGCTCGGAAACTCAATCCTTGAAATATACTTCAACAACTCTAGCTCGGGGTGCGATTGGGTATTACTATCCATTAGGACAGTGCTTCTCAAAGTTGGAACTTTCGTGACCCAATATTCAATCATAATTTTTCTCGTGCCCCCTCATACAATAACAATGTATGAACTCAATAATACTATAATTTGGCGCTAAAACTACGATATATATATACGACTTTAACATCTTAAGCCAAAGCGTTTATTTTCCCAGACATATATATACGTCTTTCCGAAGTAGAATCTTTTCTGTGCACTGCTAACCATAAAATTATCCCGAAGGCTTTGGAATGCAATTAAAGGACCTCGACAATGTCTACGATGAATTTACTTATTTCAGATTTTTTTGCTTCTTTAGTCTTTACCTTCACTATACATCATATACGCTGCCCGCTTACGAGGAAAACGGTGGCATTCGGAAGCGAATCGTTTTAACTTTTAATCGACAGTTAAGGGATTAATTATGAACTATATAAATTATCAAGATAAGTGTTAATTTTTGTTATATATATATATATATATGTGTGTGTGTGTGTGAAGTAGAAGGCGCTATTGCAAGCCCCCGTAGCATCCCCCCAGCAGATAGTTTCGAGAAGAAACGAGAGGGCCACTTTAATGAAATGGTAACTGACATTTCGTATGCATGACCATAAAAACTTGGTATCAACAGGCGTAGGTCAACAATTCTATAATAATTCAGGAACAGTTAAGGCATTAATTAATAGTAAGTTTTTACTATAAATCACTATTTCTCAAAAGTATAAATTTCAACACAAAAAGAACATTTTTGAAAAAACTACTTATTTTATAGCCTTGAAACTTTGCACAAGTGTTAAAGCTATACAAACAAATCTTTTATCAAAAAATCATTTATTATCAAAATATATTCATGAATTAAAATGTACAAGAATTTTCATCATTTTAAAACTGTTGATGTGTTACTCTAAATATGAATTTTTTAAAAAAAAAAACTAATCAAAATTTTGAAAAATGCTCTCTCTCATTAAAATAATAAAAACAATACAATGAATACACACACAAAAATTCATGACTGTACAACCTACCAATTTTTTATAAATGTTCCTTAAACTTGGTCATTTTTAACATTACGGAGATAGGGAAAATGCTGCGTGAAGTGACCCCCATATATTAACGCAAAATATATTTTTATACGCCTTAATTAAAATGTTCTATTCATATTATATCACAATTAATTCGCTGTTTCAATTTGCATTATTTACACTTGAAAATTTAGGTAATAACTATCGGATATATTTTGTTTCCAAACATTGAATTGTTAGAAAAATGATTTAAAACAACTTCACAGAGTCAACAGTATTGATCTTTGAACACATTAAGGTTAAGTAATCAAAATTTCATTAAATACTAAGCCTATTTTCTACCTACATGTGCAAAGGCATTTTAAGTCGTGGGCCAACTGGCCCCTGGCCCAGGGCCTCAATAAGATCATGTTTCAGATAATTTAAATCTTTAAAAATTATTCCGAAACATATTGTCCAAAGAACTGGGAATTCCGAGCCAAATGCCAACTGGTAACTGTGACAACACTCTATTATTGTATCATGTTTGTCGTACGTGTTTAGGCATCGGTCTACCATAACTCATTCGGTCGAAAGGTGGCAAATGATTGAGTTTGGTTTTTGCCTAGGTCTGTGAGCCACGCACATTTATTTAATATGTGTTACCGTTTGTATGATTATTTGGCAGGGTACATGGGGCCTAATTTTGCATAGGGCCCCAGGCTCTTAAGAAATCTGAAGTTGTCCCTTCTTTTATACAATAAATAAGATGCAAATTGGTATTAAAATATATCACATGCTAAACATCAAAGTTAATTTCCTTTTTCACTTATGAAGTTTTTATGTTGCTCTCAAATCTTATAATCTATTTTACGATGCGAAGGAATGAGCAAATAATACGTGAAACTAAAAACTTACCATCAGCAGGCATAGTGAGATTTTTTGCTTCCCAATTACTGTGTCCAGCTTCATTGACTGCGGCTAATTGAAATCCGTAAGTCACTGCAGGCGCCAAATAGCGCACAGTGTAACTGGTAGCATTCGCTGGTATCTTATCGTCCATATCCAACCAGTCTGCTCCACCAGTGCTATAGTTTTTCATCTGCAGATGGTAACGCTTGATGGGCAAGTTGCCTTTATACTCCAGACTCCAACGGAGTAATGCTGTACGGGAATCTAGTGCTTCCACTGAATCTACTGAGATCTCTGCGGGTTCTGTGGAGAAAGAGAATGTACCATTTTGTTAAAAAAGTATATTCAAAACAAACACAGTTTTAGAACGTTTTAATTACTAGTTTGAAAGAAAAAACGCTAATATAATAGGATAATTAATCTGTTGGGTTCGAAGAAAATAATTTACTGACTCATGCGTCGATTCAAGTGTCGGAGAGTTTTTTTTCTCTCGCTACAATTATTAACTATTGTTTTGGAGAAAGGATCACAACACACAAAAGATTAGAAATACTGTATGCTTATAATTTAACCCTGTATAAGGTTATTTTTTCTAGTCATGTTTCGATGAAATATTTTTGAGATTTAGATTGATTTATAAAAATAAATTCGCGTAGAGTATTACTTAAAATTCGTTTGATTTTTAAAACCATTTTTTTGTTATTGGGAAGTATGTTTACCACCACCCATTAGGAGCTATTTAAATGTATGACATCTTATGATTTGCATTTCTTTTTATGTTGCATTACATGATATTTTTAAAAAATTAATTTCTAAGTATATTAAAATTTACTGAATTATTTATAAATTAGATATATTTTGAATAAAAAATTATGCATATTACTTTCCATCAAATTTCAGAAAATGGGGATTAATACACAGAAGGTCGTTGCAAGCTATAAAAACGTACCCATGAGATTTATTAGAACACAAACGGCAACGTCTATGTTTTTTTCAAGTTAGCATATGGTCTCCAACTTTAGTCAATTGTACGTCATCTGGAATAAGTGTTTTTTTCACTTGCGACTTGAAAATTTCTAAATAAGTTGACGTGCCAGCTGAAGTACTAGCAGTACAAATATAAAACGGAAAACAGCTTCATCAACATTTAAAAATTGGTGAAGTTTGTGGTAAATATACTTCTATGGCCTTGTAAAGGGTTAAAATAAATTCATTTGTAAGAGTTCTGGTATAGTTTGTTTACTACAATAGTAGGGAAATAACCAGTTCTTGAGACAGTATATAGTAGGTGTACAAATTGATAGAACTGTATAATCCATATAATTTATTTATTACCAAATCAATTATCTATATAATTTATCTATTACCAAATCAATTTAAATCATCGTGTTTTGTGCAGAGATTTCTTCAATATTAATAGCATGCAATTCATTGAAACACAAAGGGAATAGTAATATTGCTGCAATGTTAGGAAAAATATGTATCTTTATGTGTATTTATGAAATATAAAACAACTACAAAAATAAAAGCAGTGTCACGTGAGTGTATTGTAATTTTTAATATTAGTAGAAGTCCACAAATAAAGATTTTAAGCTGCAGTTGCTTGGGAAAGAAAAAATATTCCCTAGTAGATTTTTCAAGAATTATCATGATTTATTTAAAGCGACAACAACCCTTGAGTTTTTAGAATATTTGAAAAATGGAGGGTCATGTTGTAGGTTTAGTGCTTTGTTAATTGGAATAGTTGATTTTATATTATTACTCAAGCAAATTTATATTTTCTTTGTAATATGAAATATCCTTATGTAATGAAACTGAAACACTTGTTAGATTCTGTACCGAAAAATGAAAACAGAGCGGAAATTTCTATTTTGTTATTTTCTATTAAATTATCCATCGATATAAAGCAAATGTTTTTTTAAATATAA